AGTTATTCTTTTGTTTTTATTTTTTTTAGTTAGTGTTTTGTTATTTTGTACCTGGGTAACAGTAAGTCTTAATTAAAAAAAGGGAATATTAATAAGGGTGCGAACTTATCAATGCCTATAAATAGAGTAGGTACTAGGTCTTTTGCGTCATCGGCCCACGTCCGGGGGTTGCACTGCGCAGGCGCGACACCCACCTAAATGTCGAAGGGCGATCCCGGGCAGCCTGGATCCTAGGACTCAGCGCTAAATTGATTTCCCGGCTCGTGTAGCGATGTAGCCATGACCTTTGGCGAATTCGATAACAACGCGTCTATGGAATTGCTGATGGGCTATAGATAGATCTTGTTAATAAAAGGTTTATTAACTGAAGCGTTATTTATCAATGATTCAAATCTACAATTTTGAGCATCTATTTATAACTTGAGGCAGGAAAATTTTGTTTCACTGATCGATATTTGGTGACAATTTGGCTTCAGTGCTATGCCCAACTAAAACTATTGGGTTCGTCGGGAATCCAAACCTAGGACCTTTCGAACGGAACGTAGCGTCTGCGTCGATAGAGGCTGCCAAGGTACATTGTATCTAAATGTTTCTCTTATTGATCAATTGGTGTAGGATTAAATTCATTGAATCAGACAGCTGTTAGAGTTAGTAATGCTTCAATTTATTCGCTTCTAGGTCGCCGTGAAAAAGTCAAGTTTCATCGCGTTTCGGCAGTCCTGCGATTCCGAATATCCAAAGCCAAAATAGGTCGACAACTCATCGTGATTAGATGTTATATAGCTGGGGTTACCATCAAGTTAACGTCATGCTATCTGTCCCCTTCTATCATATAGAAAAAACTTTTAATTATGTTTGTGTAAACTATTTATAAATTTAAACTGTCTATAACATAAAAGACCATAATTTTGTTGGATTTACTCAAATGCACAGATTTAATTTATTCCAAAGAATGGAAATTGTCTGTAAATATTAATTGCTTTGTTCCTTGAGTTTCGACTGTACTTTATTACTTCTACTATTTTTTTAATAAGCTTAATTATTTATGCTGATTCCTGAATCCTTATCTCCCTTTAACTTGTATCAATATACTACATTACTATTTTTTATGTCATTATGTTAAAAGATTTAACATAATATGTATACAGTACTTATATAAAACGTTATTGATTACGCTAAGCTTAGCAACTAGTTGAGAAGTGACTAGGTAAATTTTCCGATGACATAAACTTTGAATGTGCATGTAATACAATAAGGATAAATAAATAATACATTTTGTTGTATTTTATTAATAATCATTGATAGTTTTAGATTGATGTGTGTGATTTTAATAAAATATGACTCGTATTCAAAGCAATTCATTTTGAGTTTTTTAGGAAGAATATTATTATTATATTGTTATTTATTATTAGTTATCGCAAAAGAATCGTACGTACAATTTTAGGTTTGAGGTATTACTTGTGGGAAATATTGGTACTACCTAAAGTTCATAATGACTTCTAATGGTAGAGAGATCTGATGCACTGCATCAGCTAGTTGTGGTAGCTACGCCACTATTTCTGATCAAAATAAATTAAGAAATTTAAATAAATTTCCTATAGATTACTTGTGAACAATTTTTTTAAGTTCAATTATGTACATTATAGGCATATAGGAGAATTATATTATTTTCTACCTGCTACATACATACAGTTTGTTTTCATTACTTAAGTAAAAAATATAATCTTATGTTATATGGATTAAATTATGTAATAATATCGAGTCTACTTTCAACCTCCTTATTACTGAAAATAAACGCTGCAAATCTCACGAACGAATAATACCGAATAGATATTCTCCTTTCCCCAATTAAAACATAGTACAGCTGTGAATGCACCTGTATGTTTTCATTTGCCAATTTGCCAGCCATTACTAAATAGAGATCTAATCACAGATTATAATTATGACGTCGGACCTTACCATACCCACTTATAATTTTCGTTCAGCTTAAACAAAAACCTTCGTTTATTCATACAAAATAAAAAATTCAAGTCTTAATCATTAGCTAGCTAAGTTGTTTTTGTATAGTTGATAGGTAATTTTTTTTTTTATTTCAGATTGTACACAATGTCTTCTAGCAACTGAGCAACATTCAGTCAACACTGTCTTAGCTTATATAGGTAAGTGGTATCATAATATGTAATATGTACTATATTATCACGTGCCAAACTAATAACTACACTCTGGTTTCTCTTACGTATAAATCCTTCGCCTTTTACCTAATTATTATTAGAGGTATATATACTATTTGTGCTTCCCTGAAGTTTAATTTTTTACATCATACATTACTTTTTTATTATAATTTAATCTTATTTAAAACGCGATTAGACAATTAAAATAATAATATTTTTTTAACTAACAAACAGTATTTCTATGCATAATATATGTAAAGTTTTGAAATATATTATTCTTAATACGCAATTAAATTGAATATTACATTTACTTAATGGGTGGGTAAATTATTTAAGCTAGCTAATAAAGAAATATAGGCCACAAGCTCTTCTACAATCCATATCTGATAACAGATGAGGATAGGCTTCACTTGTTGAAATGAATGAAGTTGCACTGTCGACCTATTTCGGCTGTCGGCATTTTGTTAAGTTATTATGAGAGTTTATTGGTAGGCCAAGAACTATTACTAATTAGTGGTAAAGGAATCAAACTCCCAGCCCACCATGATAGTATTAAGATAATTTGGCGTTCTTTCGTTATTTTATCCTTTACATCATAAATTATTTTGAATGAACATGTTTTATACCGCCTATGCACTTCTAAAAGATGTAGGTAGATGTACACGTGTAGCTTCCGTTTATCTATTATCGATGACGTCATTATGTCTACTGATAAGATAAAATATTGAATTATGTTTGGCACAGTCTCATAAATATCAATTACTTTGTTGTGTGAAAGGTATGTTCTATGTATCTTCATAACTGATTAAGAATACTTAAAAAAATCGATTTGAAGTTTATCATTGTTGAATATAAATAACGACATAGACGGGGTTCAAATTTACAACACATGCACACAACAGCATGGAATGTTGTGGTCATAGGTACGAGGTCAATCTATAATGCATTTTAAATTTAAACATAGTTCAATATTTTAAATAAAACACTTTTAACTGATTAAAACGCAAAATATATTATTACCTTATTTTAATTTACATATTATCGGTACCCGTTAGAAGTGTTTTATTTAAATCGTGTATTACCTACTCGCATAAGCTACAAGCAATACAAGTATGAGAAACTTTCTGGAAAGTATTATCAAAGTCACTTTAGCAGTTTAGGTGTAACGGACTTACAAACATTCATTGCAAAACCTTTACATTGATTACCTATTTAAATGTAAGAAATGACATTCTATATTTTTATATGATAGAGGACATGATTCCTGCCATATAACATCTACACAAGATGTGCTGTCGATCTATTTTTTCTTTGAATATTCGGTATATAAACGATATACATATCATAAGTAGCACAGGTAGTCAACATAAAACACCAACAGATTATACAACATGACGTAGATATAGATAACAATATGCACTAGCATCGGTTCTGCACGTGTATTCATACGTAAGAATGTGTGCACAGAACATTTTATTACGTTCTTTGTGTGCGTGGCTCAAGGTCAAGGTTGACACGTGGGGCGGTCCGACCCCGTCCTAAGTCGTCCCACAGAGAATTACCACCCTTTCTCGTTACAGCTGCCGTCTCTATAGTCTATACATAGCAGTTATGTATCGCGTTATTTTGTTGCATTGTTGCTATTCTTCACTAGGAATGTTGTATAATATGAAATGTCCACCTGCTGCTCATAAAAGTATGTCAAATTAAAATGTTATTTTAAATGTAAAATATATAACAAACGTTTTTAGACGCCCGCCATTTTGATTTCATATATACAACAAATTGAACGTTGTAAAAATGACGTAACGTTTAGTAATGATTATGTAAAAATATCATAATATTATATATTTGTTAGCATTGTAGGTAAATTCATATATATATTTATTCATACATTCAAAATCATACGTTGAAAAATATACAATAGTACTAGCTGTAAATCATTTATACAATTATCTAGGCATAATCTATGCTAAATTATACGTCATTTAATACATCCTGGCAAAACATCTGTGTTACAAAAGTGAACATAAAACAAATGAATGGATCGCGAAAATCTTGACGCAAATGTTGACGTCAAGTGTTTGTATTGTTCCCCAATTCCTAATCGATTTAATGCGCTTTTTTATAAATACATTAATAGGTGGAAAAGGAGAAAAGATAGGTAAAACTTAGGAATACCAGCATAGTCTGTGTCGTTGTGTTATGTGAAATTTGTATTTAATTTTTCATTATATATAAGGTAGCGTTATCTTTTTTACACATAGAAGTTGCTACAATAAAATGTTTACTGATTTTAAGTAATATTATGTATTTAAATAAAACACTTTAACGGTTTAAAACGCGATATATTAGTTAAACTTATTTGAAAATGATTTTTAACATCGGCCCCGTGACCACGGCTGCTGCAAAGCATCCGAAACGTCGGGCCGAAGTTTTTCGTGTTTCTACTAGCGCACCGTAGAGCCATCTTCAGTTGATTTACGTAACTGCATTGTGTAACGAAAGTCAAAATTAACTTCGTTCTGTTGCAGTTACCTAGGTGGCTCTGCACGCTTAGTTCTCAGTTGTGCGATAGAGGGCGCTAGTGTGCTCGCACAAAATTTTGAACTTTGTTTAAAAATAGTTTCCTATGTAACAACCTTACATAGGAAACATTGTTTGCATTGTTTTATAACTTGTATTTTTTGATTCAATTAAATATTTCATTGCATAATGCAAGAACCTATTTAGATTTTAGCCTCTGATTTTTTTTTTATTATTTTAAATTTCATCCTGTTCATAATTACTCTTTACAACTTTATTCAGTAACATAGAAATTAATTCAATATGCAATATTATAAGATGCTATATTTAGCACCTATCCATGCCATACAAACTGCGCTCTACAAACATTATTCAAAGAAGAAAGAACTGCAAGAAGAGACGAAAGAGATTTATAAGAAGATAATACTTTTGAACAGAAGACCGGGACTATCGAACGACCGGGTGCCACGCTGTGCTCTCTCAGGATGTATGGCGAGTGAACACAGCTGGTGGTATCTCAGTTGTTCCTTAGTTCACTCCGCTTTGCTGGATATGGAAGAATAAGAAGTCTAGCAAAAAAAAAACAACGGGACGTGGATACAGAGTGCCTTCTCATTATATTAAAATAGTCTAAACTGGAATTGAAATAAACTTTAACGGTTTAAAATGCGATATATATTAATTAAACTTATTTTATAATTATTTTTAAGTACGGTGCGACGTTTCTAAAGGGGAATGCCCATTTCAAACTCACAGATCTTCTAGAACCATCTTTAAATAAATATGTAATTGCTACTCTAATGAATATATATTTGAAATGAATTAGTGAACAAAATAAATATCTATATATATATTGAAAAAAAGATTTCCATGTTTCGCGCAAGACACTGAGAAGTGGGCATTTCTCTTTATAAATTATATATTTAAAAGTATACATACTAAACATCAACTCATTTGTACTACAATCTCCCATGACTTGTAAGTGTTGAGCAAGTAGTGTACGTATTTTCTATATACACTACAATATTCCTTTTTTACAGAAGTAAATATAGTACATTAAAATTTAAAGTAGGAGTTGAAGATATGAATGTATATATCTATTATACTTTTAATAGTTTAAACTTTACTATTAATAACAGTGCCGTTACGAGGCCTACAATAAGAAGTAAAGGTAGCATGGAAGTAAAATATAGCCTATACATATATATACCATTTGCGTTTTTATAAAAACTACCGTCTTTTCTTCTCGGCCTATTCTTTACATGACATTTTTTTTCTTGTTATTTAACTAATACACAAAGGGAACATTTTGAATATATATTTATTTTTAGTAAATATATATGTGTTTGAACAGTGACGCGGACTTATGTAGCATTAATTGCTAGTGTTTTAATAAGTTGTTTGCGACAAGGTAATGTCTATTGTTACAATGATCATTAGTACGTGTATGAGTCAGGATTCAAAACAGTTTTGTAAAATAATATGAGTGACAAGTTGGACATATCGTTGAACATCTTTGTGGTAAACCCTAAGGCTGTGGTCTCAGAGGAACGCCAAAACGGTATCGTCGTTTTAACATTACAATGTCAAATTTGACAATGATAGGCTCATAAATCGATAGATCATATCTTAATATGAGGCCGCTAGAGCCAGAGTAGCCTAACTGCAAATTTATGTTTGAAATTGCAAATCTTCAAGGACATAGTGACCGAAAATTGTTAACATACTAATAACAGTACAAATTAATTTCTGCCTAAATTATAATTTCATATTTATATTTTCCTTATTGAAAATCATGTTTCTTGTTATAAGGCCACTCTGGCTCTAGCTTCGTACGATCTACAATATGCGTATGGCGTTTATAGAAGACTGGTGCCTAACAATGCTGTTCGTCATGATAACATCACAGTCAAACTTAACTTTCTTTATCTCATTCTATTATAAAGCGACTATAGAATAAATTCTGATTGTGTGTCTTCACTTATACTTCTTATTTGTTATTTGAATATTTACTAAGATGTATTCACCAATGGTAAGAAGTTGTATTATGATAGAGCAAGAAAATTGTCAACTCTAAAATAGTACTTGCAAACTTCTTAGAATATCCATGTATTATATCCATTATATGCGCACAAATTTAGTATGCGAAATGCTTTTCCCCGTTGCCTTAAATGATACGCAGCAATCATTTGAGCAAGAAAATATATAAAAAAACGTAACTCGTTCGCACGATATACAGCGCGAAATTACCGTAAATTGTTAGAGAAAGTAAGCTAAATGCTGATTACCACTGTCTGTTGATGATTCTTGGTTAATGTTAGGTTTTATATAGCGATTGTCATATAAAATATTGTAATGCATACGTTTTTTATTATTATCACAAAAGAGCAATTGTTACATTCGGACGATATTACAACATTTATATTTACGTCCATGTTGATAAAAGGTATTTTATTATGAACTAATTTATAAATATCTAGACTAGAGTTAGATTTTAATTTTTATTACCCAACAAACCGGACCAAGAAATTACAATGACAAATCCTTTCTATAAGAATCTTGTCTCCAATAACTGAAGTAATAATAAGTGCTACTTTTAAATAAAACGCATTAACGGTTTAAAACGCGATATGTATTAGTTAAACTTATTTGAAAATTATTTTAACTACGCCCCGTATTATTATTTTAACGATGTCCCCCCCGTGACCAATACTGCTGCAAGTATCCGAAACGTCGAGCCGTAGTTAAAAAAAAAAACAAATAAGTTTTACTAATTTGTGTCCTGTTTTTGTGTTGTGTTTTATATAAATATGTACTACTCGCGTAAACTACAGACAGTGTTTAAGTAGTGCTTTTTCTCCATTCTCGTAATACTAGAATGTATTCTTAATTTCAACTGAAGAATTACTTTTACTTAAACTACATGGGCAATAATTATTTAAACGTCTTCATTATTCAAACGAATTTCCGTTAAACGCGTAGTGAAAGTGGTTATGAGAACGCAACACGTTTAACGATTCAAGTTGACGTACCGTGAGCATCGTTCTGCCACAGATAAAATATACGTAACATTCACTTTACTGAGCGGTGATGGATTGTTCCTACTGAGAGAAATACGCTTAAGGTGTAATCATTAAAGAGATATGACTACACCGCTATAATACCTCGCGGTGATACTTATACAAGGAAAAGGACGGGGGAGCTTGGGACAAATATGTTTTTATTAGAATATTTATATATCATCCTATTTGTGATTATTATTTCTTGCCTTGCCAAATCTTAATAATTATTGGGGAGTTAAATTGCTAGAAGCCTTCTCGTACACTCTGTTTGTAGGGCTTTGGTTTTTTTTCTTCGGCTTGTCAGCGACATATTTTAAATATAAGAATGGAAATTGTAATCCGTTGGTGTAAGGTAATTTTGCGGTGATCATATAAATAATATACAATATCTTTTATTTCATTGAATCGATTTTTCAGTTCAGGTCTTCAGTTTGTTAATTTTTTATGAACTACAAGTTCAAACATGCTAGGGGTTCCCTTGGTAGAAGGTGCATTTACATTTGACACTGCGAATTCCATAATCCTACTACCATTTAATGTCAAGATTGATTATATCCATACATTCTGATAATATAGCGATACGTTGTAATAATAAATACATCTGCCTTGGCGCCTTCGAGTCTAAATAACTTTGGCTGGGGGCTCACGGAGCACAGCCAAAACTTGCATGCCAAGTGTCGCTGGCACAGCCCTTGGTTGCATAAACGAATTTACGACAAGGGCAGGGCGAGATGACGAAATTGTAACGCGAATCCGATATCCGTTTTTACGTAGCTGCTGGATATAGGCACAACTAGTTTCGCCAAATTTAAATTCATAAATGGCAACACTGCATATATTGCATATTTCCTGGTCATCCTCCAATCATCATTGACTCAATAGACCACTGTCATAAATAAAAAAAATATATATTATAATATACATTTTTGATATATACAGTATACATTTTTATTTATGATATTTAATTATGCAGGCATATATATGCATTTATAACGTATACTGTTTATATAGACATTCTGTATTCGAATATCTTTGAACATGCTTATTAAATTGCACTTGTAATATTGAGAAGACCAGAAAGATATTTTTCGATAAGCAGAAAGTTTACCTAATTACAAATGTTTATTGAAGTATCATAATGATAAAAACAAATGACCATCATATCTATTATACATAATGACAAAGAAAAAGGAATATATCAAAGGTTTGTCGTTCATAGTTTCTAGTTTTTTTAACCTGCAATAAAACTAATTATAGTGTCGTCCCCAGGCTCCCTAATTATTAAGGATAAGTTTTGTAGCCTTGCTACGACGTAGCCCGTAGCGCCCTCCCTGTTGCGCAACTATATATTTTTTACATTATAATATTAGAGGTGTGGGCTTGTGATTTTTACTGCAACGACATCACGTCCTTAGGTAACATTAAAAAATGTTGATTACATTAAATTAAACTAATCTCAAAATGATAAACATATTAGTTAATTCTTTTTTAACGAACCGAAGTTTCGCCTCCCGTCATTAATTCAAGTTGATATTAATATATAAAAACAATACAATAGTCTTAAGAATTATCTGATGCCCGTAAGAATCGCTGGTTGTCAGCTAGTTCTCGAAAAGCAGTGTTTAAATTCGAAGTGATATATTGTGCAACATGCGCGGAGGAAAGTTCAAGGACACAAGGAGCCCAGTAGCAACAGCTGGATCGATAGAGGCTTCGATAGAGCTCTCCGCATCGCCATGGCGACCTGCAGCCGTGACCTGGAAGGGGGGAGGGGTTGCATCGAGCGGCCGGGCTGCATCGAGCAGTTATTTCGGTGCACCTCTATCGTCGCAGTCGCTCTCCGCGTCTCGTATCGCGCGCGCGTTCCACCACGGTGCCAGTTACCAGTACGCTCTGCTATACGAGTATAACGCTAATCTCTATCGGCCACAAGTGTTACCCACCTGTTGCGCGAGGTGAAACCGCGTGGAAAACTCTTTTTCTCAGCGGACGTGACTACTTTCACCAGTCGCATTCCGCGCCTACGTCGCGCTAAACCAGTATGAACACAACCAACCCCACTTTGCTTCAATTACGTATAATCTCGAAATATTAAAAAAACTATGTCTATTAATTTTGTATTTTTCGTGGCACTGTTACAGAAATTTAAGAAATACGAATTAAAAAATATGTTTGTTAGGCAGTACGGGGGTTCCAATCGCGGTATTGTAGTAATTGTGATTAATTGTCTCAAACAGTGCGTAAGGTATTATAAAGGTGAGATTAGGGCGTTCGATAAACGGGTACATCTGCTAGGATGCAACTGTCGTTATGCAAGGTCTGCTGATAATTTAAGATGTGGATGGTGCAGCTGGCAGTTGGCCAGGGATGCAGCACTGAAGGTCGCGGGGGTGAGGTGGGGACGGATGACAATGTAATGCGCAAGTACAGAGGATCTCCGGGCACTCGATTCGCCAGCCTTGTAATTGCTTATCGATTTGCACTTAGTGATATATATGTAGTGAAAGTACTTCAATCCACTGCGTGAGTGCTGTGTTATGCAACAATGGAAGACGCCGCAGCTTTCCAATTTTAGGATTTCAATTGTTTTTTGTGATGTTTGTCGACACGTCTTCAGCTAAACCTCGTCTAAAGTCGACCTTCGTTTAAAGTCTTTGAGGAGTTTTTAAAGTTTGTAATTGTCTTCGAAACTATATCAAGTAGAAGAAACTTATTTTCTTCTTAATCCAGGTGTAAATCTCTAAAAATGTGAAGTTCAGTTTCAGTCTGTAGATTTCCAAATCCAAAGCCAAAATAGGTCGATAACGCATAATTGGATGTTATATGGCTGAGATCACGTTCCATTTCGCCCAGGCTTATCCGCCCTTTACAGACTTGCTGGTCCCTTAAACTAAAACTTCTCTCATCGTTTAAATGGCTCTGTCGACAAATCGCCTTGACCCTTCGCCCTTTGCATTTGCCACGTTCACAGTTCCGATCGCGAGATGGTCATCGCTTTCATCAAACGAACGTATTGCGAAACGCATAGGTATAAAACACACACGACTTTCACTGGCGGGACCATTGACCGTGGCTCGACTTTCTAAATGTCGTAACTCGCAACGGCTGTGCGCATTGTGATTTCGTGATACACGCGATGCCGTGTTTTTTTTTTGCGCCCGAAACCGTAGAAAGTTACAGCGATTTCCTTAAGGCAATCTTCTGCTATCCGTTACCCACGACGTCGTCCGTCATCGTCATTCTGGCGAGTAAATCTTCGAGATAGAGATATACTATCGCCGATACTTAAAAGATCTTTTAAAGAGAAATTATTGTATTTCATACATATTTTGCAATTTCTTAAACCGTTTTTGCAGCACACCGAACGGAAACCCTTAATGATGAATTTTCCCCGTTTTATTTATGTCTCCTACTGGTCACAGCGTTATATAGACTAAAGCTTTCCCCGGTAAATTATCTATCCAACACAAAAAGATTTTTTGGCAATTCGAACTAGTAGTTCCTGAGATTAGCGCGTTCAAACAAACAAACTATTCACCTTTAGAATATTAGTATATACAAGGACATTGTAAAGCCTTATTGGTCCGTACAAACGTGAAAACCCTCATACCAGTAGTCGCAAAATGCTCGCTTCAAATTCGTTCACAAAATTTATAGTAAGCGGTTATTTATAGGAGGCTACAGCCTAAGTGCCGACCTAGCGTTCAACAAGTGGCTTTGGCAACCCACCTGTGGAATGCAACTGTGACAAGCCTCGCGAGCTAGTACCTCTTAAGGCCGTTCCTTTCTTTTCCCATAGATGCTGAACACGATTTCATGTTGTTCTATCTAATGGGTGTATTATCAGCCGTAGAGACAATATAAAACATTAGTGTAGTTTACAACATTATTAAAGATGGCACAATTACAATTATTGTCAAAGTTTTAAACGTATAATTTGAATTTTTATTTTTGCCAGATGCATCCATTTAAACTTATGTACTTGGAAATTACACATCAATAAAAAAAAATCAACATGAGTCACTCGTTTTAAAACCAATTAAAAATTTGACAATTAACCTAAATCGAATAATTAATTGAATTAAATTCAAATTTCGAATACGTCTGTAGTTTTTACAATAAGTTTTTACTGTTACAATGGCCAGTATCACGTCCGACTTTCTGACACGACCCTGACCGTTCGTCCTAGGTTACCTAGACGCGTCCTTGGGCGCTGTGCCAGCTGCCTCCCGCCCCTCGTTCCCCTTCGGCACAGGAAGTCACCCATATTGCCAATAGACTCCATCAATAGGCATTCAATAAACGAACATTCCTTGTTAATGAGCTTTGGAGTGATCTTTGTATGTGTGTCAGTGTATTTTATGAACATTTTGTATTAGTGTAACAAATAAAATGTAAAATGTATCGCAATCTTATAAATACAATGTTAGATATACAGCAGTTGAAACACGCAATGAAAAAATTTAAAAAATTATTTTGGTCTTATTGTAACTTTTTTTTTCTGAAAGTGGGGATTGCTTTTTTGTTTAACTTGACAATTATTTAAATTATATATAACCGCGTGATAGTTACAATTAAATTAAATTTTAACACCGGCCGATACCTCTTGACCACTTCTCAAAATACACGGAACCTTCAGACTGTTGGTCAGTCAAAAATAACATTAGTTCGGCTCAGTCATACAGATTGATCTTATAAAACAAATGAACCGGATTGCTTTAAAAAACGTTACTGACCAATACTTGCTTTTTGCTAGTATTAATATATCTAGATGAATTATTAAATAAATTTAAATTTCAAAACAAGGTTTTCGGAATTCCGATAGTGCTATAGAGATTTATATTTGCAATTTATTATTAGAAGTACGCGTGTTTGTTTGAACATATTATGAGTAAATGCATACACCAACTCACTTTAGTTTGCGGAATACACTCGTGAGTCAGTCGACCTTCGATCGCTCTATGAAAACTCACCTTCTTCAGGCAGTAAAAGCCTTGTAAACCGTAACAGATTTGATGCAATATTGTCTTATTTGCAATACCGAAGGGTTATTTGAGGTTATACTTGTTTTTGCAATGTTTTCGCGTGGCCTGTTGGCTGTCGAATTGGAGCATCTATTTGCGGCGCTCGAGGCCCGCGGCGACATTATAACAGACATACCTTACGCACTGTCCGATATAGTGAATAGGTGTATTAATAGCGTAACTAGCTCTGTCAGCGACTTCGTTATTTTGCAAATCCCTTCATCTTTATAAAATGAAGCTGTTACCCACGACGTCAATCGCGTCCATTTTGCAAGTTAATCTTAAAAGATGGACGCATAGCGTCGCGGACTCTTTATTATGGGTATCTTGAACCGTTTTTGCAGCGTACGCCTCGGAAACCCATAATGATGAAAATTTTTCCCATTTATTTTCAAATTTCTCACTGTATCTTCGCTTGTATTAGTCAGTACGATGTTTTATAGCCTATGGCTAAGACAAAACGATTTTTTCAATTCGAACCCGTAGTTCCTGATATTAGCGACAAACAAACAAACTCTTCAGCTTTATATGTTAGTATAGATAGCAGAGCGTACACCGGTGCAACATCACGCGCGTAGAACGAAAGCGATCAGCGAAAGTAACGCGTGAAATGATGCAGAGAAACTGCGGCAGGTTGCGACAACGGCCCCGTTGGCAGAACGTATTTCAAGCCGGCTAGCTGCAGCGGCTTTGCGAAACGGTTATGCAAGGCGCGCCGATGCCAACTCGCGCGCCGTCCGCGCCGGAAGGAAAAGTGGAACGGCCCGCAGTGAGGCGGCCGCGCGCGCCGCTTCCACACGCCTCACGAGTGCCCAGTGTCGTGTCGTGTCGTGTCTGTGTCGCTTCTAGAACGTTGATTGTGTTGCGCAAGCCCTACGCCTACAGCGGGATTATTTTAAACTAGATAATAAGACGGCCTCGATGCCCCTCAACCCCCGTACGCTGGACGGCACGTGCAAAATCACGTGTGCTTAACTAACCGAATAACTAATACCTATCTCGAGCATCCGAGTTTGTTCTTTAATTAGAAAGTCTAATTTGCAAGTACCCGCTGTAGTCATTGTTACGAAACTGGGTTTTTTAAGGATGTTCTGCAAGAGGGAAAGTGCGCTCCGGACCGTGGCTTCCTGAAGCCGCCAAATCGAATCATGCGCAATCGTTACGTACCAGAGTTTCGATTGATCGAATCTTCAAAACGCATAACTCCAGCGGCGTTGAAAGGTCCCGCGTCACATAAGCCTCTATCCATGTGTTCAAGGACGTTTTAATAGTGTGTACAATGCCAATCAAGCGACATAATTTATCATATGCGCCGTGTGCCATACTCGTTGCACAATGCAGCTTATCTAGCGGAGAACCAACAATTCTTTGTCCTACTTTCTTAGGGTTTGAACGCTGCAGCTGATATAATATTGACGCTTGGATTTCAAACAAATATTAACATAGATTTGCTCGATTGTTTATGAAACACTAAACGTTGCTTAACAAAACTTTTAACGGTTTAAAACGCGAAATAAATCGGATATTTTACTTTAAATTAACATCGGATGTACTTAAACGTTACAATTTTGCGGTCCCAAAACTCCTACGGTTTATAGCCACATTGAGGCGCGTTATCGCGTCCGCAGCTTAAAAAAATATAACCCCTTAAACGTAGCGGTAACACTTTATTAAAAGAAATAGTTATTTGCTCTGAAAACACTCATAGAACAATATTACCTTTTGTCAGATAAATTGCGCAATATCCACGAGAATATCCATCGCACGAATGTCATAGATGAAGTTCTCTAGACGTGGTATAAATAATAATAATTACTCGCAACGAATGAGCAACAGGACGTTATGCATCAATGCGTCATTAGCCATTCCTCGGCCTGCATCGTCGCATGTGGGCGTTGCGCTACGTACCTCTAGTACCTATATGCGAAATAAACCTACTTCAGATAGATATATCTCGTTTATATTCAGCAGTAGGCACAAACAAACAAAGAAAACTACGGCCCGTTTCAAATGCTTTGCAGCAGCCATGGTCACTGGGAGATCAGATTAAGTTTCAGTACTTTTCAACGTTTATTAATAATCTTATATTTGTCAGTTTAATTTGATGACTCTTTATAGGTACTAGCCATAAAGCGACTATTAAAACGGACACATACATGTGTCTCTTGTTTAGATGAAACTGGTAACTTTAGATACTCGTGTAAAATACATATAAAGTACGCTTAGTTCATTGAGGTAATAGGTACGTGGAAATTCAATCGTTTCATAATAAGTATTATTCCATAAAACATAATAACTTCTGGTTTAAGTAAATTATCTAAAATACATAAAATGTCCAAAGAAATTAGTTTTAACTCAATTTATGAATAAAAATGACAACTCTATAATGTTTTCGATCAAAGTTACTTTCATTAATCAACTTGAACGATTCTATATTGTTTTATCTATTACTATTCGTGTTACACAAAAACAGCTGTTGTAGTGTTCAGCGATAACGATTTACATGAAGTGTTTAAATTTAACATATCGGATAGTAACACAATGAAAAAGGCAATCAATACAAATTATAAAACTAATCTATTTGAATGCTACCGTTTTGAACGTAGAAATAAAAAAAAAGGATTACATATAAATAAATTCACGCTTTTGACACAGAATTGACAGCATGCGATCTCAGACAAAAACGTTATCATTTTTTACTTTTTTTACTTATCTACATAAACGTCAAAATCGATTCATAATACGACCATAGATTATACCGCGTTCCATTAAAACCTTACTCCAGTTCAAACTCCTTATTACAATCGGTAAAGGAGTAATAAAATCTATTATTTTATCCAATAGGGCTGTCAGTCGGATTATACAAGGCCGTGAGCGTGGTATGACCTACTTGCGTTCACCTTTGTTTATAACAAAAGCCACGCGAAATTCAACTTAATAACACAGTAATTACAATTATCGTTTTGCTATTCAAAGGAATTTGTAATATATACATTTTAACATTTCGAAAACTCTTTAACGCTGCGATTGGATCAGATATTTTCCACGGACCTAAATAGTTAAAGGATACTTAGTTTTTGAAATAAAACACTTTTCAACGATCTAATATGTACTCTAATATGTATACGTCGGGTCGTAGTTAGAATAAATTAACTAAATATTTTGCGTTTTAAACCGTGAAGTGTTTTATATACTTATGTACTATTCGCGTGAACTATAGAAGTACAGACAATGCATAATTTTCTCATTAACTTTACTAATTGTAAGGACAAGTTTATTAAAAAAAATCATTTTTTTTTCCTTTAAGGTTTTTAGTTCCTAATTAATCAATAATACATCAAACTTGGATTGTTAAAATTATCTTATCCATTTGCGTAATATACATTTGAAAAAAAAACATAGTTAATCCTATATTTAGACAAGTTTACGTTTAATTTTTATTATTGTTAAAAAGCAAATATTAGCGCATACACAGCTGTGTTCCGTGAAGAAATGCATTTGCAAATATTAACTATAGTCTATACGTATTACTTATCTGTACGTACTTAGTATAAATAGCTCCACGTGTAGGTAGGTGTATATAGATCAACGTCACGACTTCACGGGGAATTGTTAACGTGATAAATTATTAGAGGTATTTGTATTATTTAGAATGAAAACTAACATTTACTGGGTCGAACTAATGAAAAAAATATTTTTTCAAACAACAGTACAAATTGGGACATAAAAAAATATCGAGATTTTTGTATTTGAGTTCACGCGACTGCACACTAGGTAGAAAGGTTGAAGATCGCCATGAGAACCGCTAAAAGTGTTTTATTTAATTAATCCTAAATTATAAACTGTATAATATAAAACATTTCACCATTGAATATTATCTAGTGTTTTTCGTGAACCTTAATTTCTATGATAAACTTGTTTCTACAATCTCACGCGCACATAGTTGCATAATGCATCTAACTAATTCCTCAAAGCGTTTTCCCCGTGATGTTTTTCAATGCAATTGCGTTTAAATGACATCATTGCATGACTGCATATCATACCTACATAATGTACTTTTTAATAATGACTGAGGCCTAAGATATATAATATTCCTATCACAAAATGATGCGAGTATATAATGATAGCTTTATTTAATATCCGTAGTTTCGTATAAAAAACAGACAGACAGAGAACAGACAAACAGTATAAAAAACACTTAACTGTTTAAAACGTCGTGTTTTAGTGTATCTACATTTAACTACAACGTTTCAGCAGTCGTGGTCCCGGACCAAAGATAGTAAGCCTCCTTTAATAACAACGTAAAATCTGCCACTCCAGCGCCATCTACTTACAGATTTTATTACTAATAATTATTGACATTAAATAATTAAAATACCTTAAAATCACAGTAAAACCACGTAAAAATGTTAATATGTAATTAAATTCGTACAATTATATCGCGAAAGCCGGTTGCTAATAAAAACGCAAAAATGCTGTTTATAAAAACGCCTCGAGTACTTATCGCCTTCGTAATGTCACGCTCTCTCTGAACTTTCAAAAAGTCGCGAAACTTTCAAATGTCTCTTCGCTCGCTTAAAAATTATAACGCGTTCCCCTCACACGCCGATTCGTACTCAGATTATGTTAACAAAGCGCTATACAATGCGAATACATAATTAATTGTTGTCAATTGATGCGCGTATGAAATAATAATCAGACGAAATCATTAGAAACCCAATCGTTTGTTAATGATCGCGACGTGATATCGTTTCCAATATACTAACCCTACATGCTTCTGTTATATGTGACCCATTAACATAGAGGACAGTAAGTGATAACGGCCAAGACGCTCCGTGCATAGACAGTTTAGTGCCGCGCCTAGTGAATTATCGATATCGACGTTTTTACGTCCCGGGGTCCGTGCCAGGAGTGCGTTTGCAACGCACGCGACAACTTTGCGTTTATGCAAATTGATACTGTAAATGCACTATCTGGTACGACACCCAGGGGTGTGAGGCAACGCGTCAGATCAACCGTTCGGATCACCAAACCACAATTAATTACGAACTCTTAAGTGATTATGTTTATTTATTTTAGTATTATTTGAAGCATGATTTCAATGTATTTATCATGATTAGTTTATTCCGCCTATATTATTTAATTCAGTTGTACATGTGTACCTATTGTATATTATTTGTTGTGTACTATTATGATTTGCTTTGTAGTTATACATTATAGTTTTGTTCTAATTTTGTTTGTTTTATTTCTTCACATTACGACTTTTAAGGCTCGTGGACGGATGATCTGTGAGAACGCTTGGGTACATAATTATATACTCACGTTTATATAAAAACTATCATTGCAGTAGAGTTTTCCGTTTGACCTTCGACGTGTTATAACATATTTTATTCGCACTACTATAGTATTCAATTATAAATATATTCAGATGATAGTTTTGACCTATTTCTTTGAGTTCTGTTGAGACTTGTCAAATCTATGTTATTTTTAACCGACATGTATTAACTAGGCTACAATCTAATTCTATCGGCATTTTGATGGCTGAGTGGTGAGATCAAACAGCTGACGACGGAAAATGTTAGCCGTGTAATTATAGTTGCAGACCACAGATGCAGACTTGTTCCAGATACCTACATGCACATTGTTGCAATCTATTCGTGCAGAAGTCATATAATTGCAATAGTGTAGCTACACTATTAATATCTTAAGTACTTGGTCACAGATTTAGCTTCGTTTTACATAAATCTATAAATATATGCATATTTAGTATTACGTCATTACCAAACATGATTTTCTATGACAAGATACTCTTTACTTTATCTATGTTTTAGATGACAATTGAAGTAGCC